AAGTGAAATATGCGCGCGAGGTTATGTCCTAAGCGAGCTGAGGCAGGGCCCCTCTTCCGCTCATTTGCGAGGCATCCCGCGCGCTGATGCTGCCGCACACTTCTCAAGCTGCTGTGGTTAGGTGCTCCAAGAGCTGACACCCTGCCTGCGTGGGGAGGGCCCAGGCACTAGCGCAGCTGCCCTTCTTCGGGTTTTCTTCCACTCACCGTCTTCATGCTTCGTCCCAAATGCAGGCAGAACAACCAGCTGAGTCTTTCTGAGGTTTGTTCAGATAAAAGTAGTGGTCTTGTATTGAAGTGTTAACTATCCTAGTGATAGAAATGTAGCCGTGTTAGTCTGGGGTAGCTGAAGCAAAATGCAGGACAATGTAGCACTTTAAAGACTAACAAGATGGTTTATTAGATGATGAGCTTTCGTTGGCCAGACCCACTTCATCATATCAAATAGTGGATAGTGCTTTAACTATGCTAGGTAGGCTTTATTGGGTCTGTACCTTTCCCAACATCCAAAGCGTGAATGTTACACATCTGCTTTATTTTTTTCCTTCGAAGTAGTGACTGAACTGCATAATGGTATTGGAGTATGGATTGCATTGCCAGCAAGTCATTGTAGAATACTCCAAAACTTGGCACTTGGGAAAATTGTGAGTGCCAAATAAACTACTCTGTATTGAGATCTTTTAAAGAAAATACCGTTATAATTTAAACAAGATAAAGTATCAAATGAAGTTAAATCTCTTATGTAGTGACACTGTTGTGGCTAGTTTTATGCTTCAGAATATTATTTAGCCATTTTCTTTGCAGGATGTTTTGGGAAGAACTTGAGTGACATATTAGAGCCGTGTTAGTCTGAATCTGCGTAAACGAGAAGCCCTGGGGCACCTTATAGACAGACTAACAGATTTATCGGAGCATAAGTTTTTGTGGGCAAAGTCCCACTTTGTCAGATGCATGCTTATGCTCCTATAAATGTTAGTGAGTGACATATTGTGGCTTAGGCAAGCTGGAGAGTATTATTAATCAGGCTTGTGCTTTAACCATGTTGAAACCATTCATCTACTAAGCTCTGATCACATGATAACACTGGTGTTGTGATTATTTTAATTATGCAAATGTTGTT